TAGAATTTAGACTTTATCCTTGTCTCACATATTTACATGTCTTCTGTCTCCTTGAAAATACATACGTAGGGCCCTGGTGGTGCACTGGGTCAAAGTGCAGCACTGTGAAGCCCCTGGCAGTCACTTCAGCACTCAACATGAGTTCGATCCTTGGCCAGGGAGGTGACCCATATGGCACAGCAGACCTCTCCTGACCCACCCTCTGCTCCTTTCATCAGTGAACTTCGTTGATCTGCCTGTCTGTTCCCTGCTCTGCCTCTGGTGAAGCCTCTAACCACCCCAGCACCTCTGACCTGTACCCCAGTTCTGTATACGTAAATGAAATAAATCTTTAAAAAGAAAATACAAATGTAAGTTCCCTAAGGGATCTCTTGACATCACCCCGTGTCCTCAGACAATGTTTGAGTAGAGATTCACTGAATTTTTTTTTTTAAGATTTATTTATTTGTGCATACAGAACTGGGGTACAGGCCAGAGGCTCAGGGGCAGGGAGAGGCTTCACCAGTGACAGAGTGGGGAACAGAACAGGCAGATCGATGAAATACACTGCTGAGGGGAGCAGCGGGCAGGCCAGGAGAGGTCTGCCACGCCATGTGGTCACCTCCGGGGCAGGCGGGAATCAAACTCATGCAGAAGTGGCTTTAGCTTCTCAGTGCTGTGCTTTAACCCGCTGCGCCACCAGGGAGGGCCAAGAGATTCACTGCATTTTATAAATTTTTTAAATTTTTAAATTGCAGAGTAATACACAAACAAAACATTTAAGTAGTGTAACAAAGTTATCAAATGAAAAGCATAAAATGCGCTAACCTTTCTCCCAAACTTGCGCCTCTTGCAACTGGGGACTCAAACTTGTGCCCCAGGTGCAACAACTTTTGTAAGTTTCTTTTTCTTTCTTTCTTTTTTTTTTTAAAGACTTATTTATTTGTGCTTACAGAACTGGGGTACAGGCCAGAGGCTCAGGGGCGGCGAGAGGCTTCACCAGAGACAGAGCGGGGAGCAGAACAGGCAGATCGACGAAGTACACTGCTGAGGGGAGCAGCGGGTGGGTCAGGAGAGGTCTGCCACACCATGTGGTCACCTCCGGGGCAGGCGGGAATCGAACTCATGCTGAAGTGGCTTTAGCTTCTCAGTGCTGTGCTTTAACCCGCTGCGCACCAGCGAGGGCCAACTTTTGTAAGTTTCTTACATATGGCCTACAAAATTTATATGACCAGACAAAGGTAAACGCATAGTTTTTAATTTTTTTTTACAAAAATAGGTCATACTTTGCAACTTGTCTTTTTTTTTACATGACAACAGATCTTGAAGGCTTTTTCATACCATAAATGGATACACCAACCTTCTTTTTTTAAAATATAATAGTTTATATTTACATCATTTTGTGCCTTTTTCCATCTCAGTTGTAATCCCTGTGGGCTTCCCAACACCAAATCACCTGTGTGCCATCACCATAGTCCAAGGCACTTCCCTCCCCCATCATTTTTGATCCCATTCCCCGTTTCACTCCCGTAAAATGTCTCTTGTGATATACCAACCTTCTTAATGCCAATTTGCACACATTTGTGTAGTCATAGAAGATAGGTTTCATGCATGAAATTGTGGGCCAAAGGTTGATGCCTTTTATATTTTGCCCACTTCCGTCTGGGCACGAGCATCTGCCATGGGACATGTTCAAAGTTTTAATTCTCTTCCATGGAAATAGATAGAAAATGGTCTCTCATTTTAATTTGCATTTTTTTAGTTATGAGTGAGGCCTAGCATTTCACTTTCTTGTTTCAGAAGTTTTTCATTCTCTTGTAGTTTTCTATTGATTTTTAAAAGTTCTTTTCAATTGTTTTGTCAATGGCCTTCATTTGTTGTTAATCTTTTTTTTAAGCGGTCATATTTATCAGCCTTTTCTTTCATACATCTTAGATTATATTATACATCTTGTTTAGAAAGGTCATTCATTTTGAGTAATTTGTTTAATAGTTTTGGTCTTTTTATGTCTTAATTCCCATAGTTTTATTAACCGTTAGTTGTATATTAGAACCACTTTGTACTAATTTTACTTTAAGAAGTAAGAAAGGGGCCCTCCCTGGTGGCACAGCAGGTTAAAGCACAGCACTGAGAAGCTAAAGCCACCTCCGCATGAGCTCGATTCCCGCCTGCCCCAGAGGTGACCACATGGCGTGGCAGACCTCTCCTGGCCTGCCCGCTGCTCCCCTCAGCAGTGTATTTCATCGATCTGCCTGTTCTGCTCCCCGCTCTGTCTCTGGTGAAGCCTCTCCCTGCCCCTGAGCCTCTGGCCTGTACCCCAGTTCTGTATGCACAAATAAGAAAGGGAATTGGGTTTATATTTTCTAACTTACCAAACAAATGTTCTAACATGATAAGTTGTCATGCATCTTTTCCTCATTGATATAAAATGCTTTAATCATACGCTAAATTCTTTAGGTATATAATCTAAGTATTACATTTTGTATTTTATTTTATAGGTTGGCCAGCACTGAACTTTTTCATCACTGTAATAATTACTGTAGTTTCTTTAATATCTGCTATAATTTCCTTAATATATGATAGAACTAATTCTCCCTTATTTTAATTTAAAATTTCTGGCAATTTTAGCAGATTCTACCTCCCACTGGATAAACTTCACTATTCCTGAAGAAAGAAAACTTAATTCTATTGATTATGTTTTATCCTGGAAACATATTAAATTTATTGATGAACATGAATTGACATGCTTCCAAATGGAAGCCTTCAATTCATGTAATTTTTCTAGTGAATTTCCCAACAGATATTTTAGCTTTCTTCATACAAGTCGTATACATTTCATAGCACATATTCATCCCTTGGCATTATTATTATTTTTTTTTAAGAAATTTTTTTTTTTTTTTAAATTTGTGCATACAGAACTAGGGTACAGGCCAGAGGCTCAGGGGCGGCAAGAGGCTTCACCAGTGACAGAGTGGGGAACAGAACAGGCAGATCGATGAAATACACTGCTGAGGGGAGCAGCGGGTAGGTCAGGAGAGGTCTGCCACGCCATGTGGTCACCTCCGGGGCAGGCGGGAATTGAACTCATGTGGAAGTGGCTTTAGCTTCTCAGTGTGGTGCTTTAATCCGCTGCACCACCAGGGAGGGTCTGGCATTATTGTTTTTTACTAAAGTAAATGAACTGCTTTGCAATCTTTTCTTACTGATTATTATCTATATGTGAATAAGACTTGACTTTTAAATTTCAATTTTATAAGTAGTTATTTTTATTGAATTTACTTAAGGTTTTCAGTTTCAGTTGTTTTGTTAATTGTTTCACCAAAATCAGGTCAATTGCAAATAATAACTTTGCATCTTCCTTCTCAATTCTTCCATGTATTTCTTTGGGCTATTTACACTTGCTCATTGCCTAGAAAATGTTACACAGTGTGCTGAGATGTGGCCACCTGGCTCAGTCATGATTTTCGTGTAAGTTCTTCATTCTTCATCTTGCCTTTGGGTAAGTTGGTTAGTCAACTTTGTATGACTAGCAGTGTGTACATACATGTGTGTATGTGTTTCATTGAGGGCTGGATATTGAATTTGAGTTAACACCTTTAAGGCAAATTTGAGCGAGTTATTCATTTGTGAACTTTGACTAGTAATATGTAATTACAGAAATAGTTTTCTTAAGAAGACCCATCCACGATTATACTGGAGCATAGTGTATCTTCTTTAATGTGTTAATGACCTTTCTAATTGTTAATAGTTTATTAAAAATTGGTGTTAAATGAATTTGAAAATCACCTGTAGTTATGTTTTTTTGAGTGTGTCTTTTTTTTTTAAGTTTCACCTTTATACAGAGAAACTGCAAAAAATCAGTAATTAGAACAAAAGAACTCAGGCTAAAATGGGTTGAAGAAATCATGCAATTATCAAAAGGTGAATGAACAATAGCTAAAAATACGTGTGAAAATAATCTTAGTGTCACATGCAACTTCAGAATTCAGGCTGCTAACACCCTCATGCTATCTTTCTTATACCTGTATCCCTACCATTACTTAAGGAAAGAAAAATACCCCGGCCTATTTTGTTAGTAGGGACTGTTACTTTGTCCTCATCGCTACCTAATTCTAAGAGGCACTGAAGTTCATACATAGAAACAAAGGGTTTTAATTCCACTCATAGAAGAAAAAGTTCAGTAATGCTTACAAAGAAGAGAATGCTTAAAGATAGTGGGTTCCTATTGCTGTCCTAATGGTAGATTGTTTTCTAAACCAACCTAACCAGTTTCCTTCTAGTTGTGGCTCTGATCCTCTGACCTGAAATTTTACCCTAAAGAATGCTTAAAGATAGTGGGTTCCTATTGCTGTTGTACTGGTGGATTGTTTTCTAAACCAGCCTAACCAGTTTCCTTCTACATTGTGGCTCTGATCCTCTGACCTGAAATTTTACCTTAAATTCATACTCTTTGGCAACGTCAGATAAGTTTAATACCAAGTCATCTGAGAAATTCAGGTCTGTTTCTTCATCAACAAAAGAGGGATTGCTTCTGTTTGCCTTGGAAGACTGCCAGGAGAGGAAATGGTGTCTGTTGAAACCCTTTACAACTCTAACAAAATTTGTAATATTATTAGTTTTTTAAGTATTGCAGATGTTGTTAGTAGAATGTATGAATGTATGTATGTTAGTAGAATGTGGTCTCTTAAAATTGAGATTTCATGAAGGACCCCAGACCTTCCCCAGAGCAAATGAACAGACCTCGATAGGAGAGGAACTTTCTCCAATATCCAACTTCTCTTCACCCCCTCACCTCCCCAGACTCCCTCCTCCACCACCTGCTGCCTGGAGAGACCACCAGAGTGTAGCATTAGCACCAGGAAGAGAAGGGCAAGAGCTGACATATTCCGTCCATCCTCTCCTGACAGACGAGCTATTTCTCACTCTGCTTATTTGGACTGCAAAGTCAACTTCTTTTCTGTTTGATCATCACCACAGCATTCAACATAAGGTTCCAAGTATTTGAAGGGTGAACTACTCACGAGACACAGAGGCACAGGACTCCGGACACAGACTCGCTGTCTCTTAACAGAAAGTTGCCATCCACTCCTTCCTTCAGCAGCACTTTCTCACAGTCTTGCTTGGTCAGAGGGCCGTGGTAGTAAGGCAGATCCATGGAGAGCCCTCTCGGATCCCTAGAGAAGAACCCTAAGTCTGAGAGTAGGAAGAGGCAGCTGGCCCAATGGGACTTGTGGAGCTACTTGTTCCTCCACTGGTTCGTGGGAGGGAGAAGATGCTTCTCTGTGAGTTTTGCACGATTCAGGAAATGAGAACGGTGAGGTGATAAATGACCAAGACTCTTCAACCTATAAATGGCCCAAGTGTGACTGATGAGAGTTTGAACACACAGATGAATCAGTGGTCGTGGCTGGGACTTCGTGGCTGGGGCTAGTGTGCTCCTTAAAATGGAGTTGCAGCCTTACAGCTGATCCTAAATCACCAGTCTTCACTTTTTCTAACTATCGGTGTCCCTTCCAGGGAGCCCCTAGAAATTGTATGTGCCTATTATCTGTGGAAACTGCCGCTGATTATGAAATGCTTACCTTAGAACAGGGCTTAAGTGTGCAGTTGAATCCAGATATGTCCAGACACAATGGAATAGTTGGAAGGGAGTCTTCTTTGGGTTAAATGACAAGAAAAGTTGAAGACATTAATGAAGCTAGGAAGTCTATGGACAACACTTCCTAACTGTTTCCAGGTAACTGCTGGAATAAAGGCCAGGCATTGCATTTATTGGAGAAGGAGCTGGTGCAGTTGGAAGGGATATCTGGATGGACAAATTAGTACATGCATACTTCTCAGTTAAAGAAAAAGGATATTGGACTTGATATTAAGCCCTGTTCTTTCCCCATTTCCTTTCCCTATCCCCTGTTCCTTGCAGTAACTGTTACATATTTTATTTGGTCTAGAAATTGTATTTGCTGTCCTTTAAAGTTCCCACCGCAGAGGACAGCACGATATGTTTCCATGAAGGAAGTCAATCCAGTCAGAAAAATTCAGCTTAGTGTTGATGACAACTTAGTGTTGATGAGAAAATCCTCTTTTCCCTCTTCTGTTAAGACATTTCCACCATGATCAGCTGATGTTTTAGCAAAGATAGTTTCTATAGTCTCAGGGTCAGAGATAGACTTAAGAATATTAACAAATACATTTTAAATACATTTTATCTATCTACTTCAAAGGATGCTGTTTGCTGACCTCTATTGTAGGAGAATATTGTTGCTCATCTTGCAAGGTTTTTTTCTTGTTTACTATTGTTAGTTGTTTACATGTCTATATAATTTAGGGACCATATTTTTAATTCTTCATATGTGCAGATGTTTCATTCACTCTCCACCAAATTTCCCATGCCAATGTTGTATCTCCTTCATGCCCCCATTCTCTTTCCCTTTCCCCTGCCTCTGGAAACCAGTATATTTTTTACTAGGTCTGAGAATTATTTTTGCTGTGGTTTGCTAGTATTATGGGTTTTGGTTATTTATATTCTATAGATAAGGAATACATCTGATATATGACTTTCATTTTCTGACCTGCATCACTGAACATAATCACCTCCATCCATTTTGTCCCCAAAGTGACTATGTTATCTTTTTGATAGTTGAGTAATATTCCATTTAGTACTTATCACATAATGTCTATGTCCAGTCATCTGTCATTGGAAATTTAGGTTGGTTTCACAACTTTTCATATTAGTGTTATCATATTCTTTGGGTAAATAACTACCACAAATATTACTGGATCATATGGGATTTCCATAGAGGAATTGCATTCTCATTAATTATTTATTTCATATCCTCACCAACATTTGTTGTTTCCATGATTTTTTATATGATCCATTTTCTCACAGTTGCGAGGTGATACCTCATTGTGTCTTTAATATGCATTTCCCTCATAATAAGTGACAATGAACATTTTTTTTTCATATGACTGTAGACCATCTGGATGTTTCCTTTAGAAAAGCATCCATTTAGGTCTTTGCCCATTATTTTTTGATTGGGTAATCTCTTTGTTTGTGGTTGAATTGTACAAGTTCTTTATAAATTTGGAGGCTAGAGGGCTAGAGGGCCTATGTCATATGTGTGATGTACAATTACTTTCTCCCAGTCTGTATGCTGTCTTCTTGTTTTTGTAATAGTTTCTTTGAGGTACAAAAGCTTTTATTTTGGCATAACCCCTCTCATTTATTTTTGCTTTTGTTTACCCTGCTGTTGGAGTTCAATCCCCCAAAACATTTTGCAGTAGATGTCCTATAGCTTTTTGTTTTCTAAAATATGTATATATATATAAGATTCAAATCTTTAATCCAGTTTGAATAAATTTTTGTGTACATAGTTAAGAGGCCTATCTTTGTGCTTTTTATTCTATTTCCTTGGTTTGATTTTCTTTTTAGTTCCAAACCATACTGTTTTGATTACTGTTGCTGTGAAATATAATTTAAAATCAGGAAATGTGAAGCTGCCAGTTTTCTTTCAGTCTGTCAGAATTGATTTGACTATTAGGCATCTTTTGTGATTCCATACAAATTTTAAAGTTGTTGGATTTCCTTGAAAAAATTTCTTGGGATTTTAATAAGTGTTGCACTGAATCTATAAATTTCTTTAGACAATAAGGCTATTTTAAGAATGTTTATTCTCCCAGTCCACATTATGTGTGTGTGCATGTGTGCATGTTATCTGATGAACCACCTTATAGTTTCCAGTGTATTCATCTTCAAGTTTATCCCCAGCTATTTCATTCTTTCTTGGTGTAATCATAAATTGGATTATTTCTCTTTCTCTGCAACATTGTTTGCATATTGAAATACAACTGATATTTTTGTATTTTTTTCCTGTCACCTTACTGTCGTCATTTATTATTTTTTGTAGTTTATTTGTAGACTCTTGAATTCACTTTATGTATCTTGACATCTGTGAATAGTGATAATTAAACCTTTTCTTTTCCAATTTAGATTTTTCTTATGTCTTTCACTTGCCTAATTGCTCCACCTAGAACCAGTAGTGTTGACAGTGAATACATTTGTTTTGTTCCTGACCTTAGGAAATACTTTCAATTTTTCACTATCAAGGATAATGTTGACTGTGGTCATAAGAATAATTTCTAAGCTCTCCCCTCACACACACACACAAACACACACACAACATTATGTTACATTGACATATAATATTGTCCATGTTTAAAATGTACAATGTTTAGCTAACCATAATGTTAGCTAAAACTTCCATCTTATCACATAATTGTCATTTCTTTGTGGTAAGAACATCTTTATTCCATCAATGGATATCAAAGCCAAGTCCTGTAGAACATGAACTATATGAGCCTATTCCTCCAGCCATAGTTGACTGAACCAATGGTAGTTCCCTAGCCCAAGAAATGATAACTGGAGAAACTTACAGAAGAACATAGAGGAAATAAAGAGAGGCAGAGGGTTTCAAGATATGGAATCAGAGAAACAAAAATAACAAAGCATTCCCTAAGAATGGCTGTGTAATAGTTTGTTTTTATGCTATGAACTGATGGCCATATCCCATCCAGCAACTTAGAGACTAGAGAGAACTCAATCCTAAAGTGAAGAATGAAGTAGACTCATGAAGAGAAGTCAAGAGACAAACCCTAGAAGTCTGACTGTAGAATCAAGGCTACAAGGGTAGGGGAAAGATGTAGAGCAGTATGTGGATGGGGCCCAGTGACTACGGTGGAGGAATATGGCTGCCATATATTTGGAAGTTGCTAAAAGAAAAACTTTTAAAAAGTTCAGGCCTTCCATGCTTCCTGCAGGGAGGGAAGTGCACAAGACTGTGGTGATGGCACACGGGTGATTCGGTGATGGGAAACCCATGGGGATTACAAATGAGATGAAAAGAAAATGTACAAAATGATGTAAAATACTATCATATTATTAAAAAAAAAAAAAGTTCAGGCCTTCCCTGGTGATGCAACGGGTTAAAGCACAACACTGTGAAGGTGTTGGCAGCCAATGTAGCACAAGTTTGGTCCCCAGCCAGGGAGGTGACCCACATGGTGTGGCAGACCCCTCCTGACCCACCCACTGTTCCCCTCAACCATGTATTTTGGTGGATCTACCTGTCCTGCTCCCCCTGTCTCTGGTGAATCATCTCATCACCTCCCCACTCTGGCCTGTACCCCGTTCTTGTATGAATAAATAAATAAATCTTTTTAAAAAACATTCTTTTCACAAGAAAAAAACATTTCTAGTCTTCTTTATATCTCTGTGGGTTGATATGAACTAAAATCATTATGGTAAATGTCACAATATATGTAAGTTAAGCCATTAAGCTGTGCACCTGAAACTCATATAGTGCTGAATGTCAATAAAATCTCAGTAAAACTGAAGGAGAAAAAATGTGAATTCTAGTTGGCTCCCATTGCCTGTGAATTCTGTGGTCTAGTTATACTCTTACCATTGGACTTTTTATCATTTGAATGCATTTCCCTGTGTCATAAGTGAGCTGGCATGTTTTTGTTTTTTACTAATGATGATGTCCAAGAAATCCAGAAATGCCATTGTAAAACACATTCTTTCTTAAGTGGCATTCAGAAAATGGAGGCCAAATCCCGTCCAGTGGTGGGAACTTCAGTGTTATAATGAGTTCTCTATTGTGGGTCACTTCTGGTTGTCTCACACATGCCTCATAATCTGATTCTGACCAGTTTGGGGTCTGGGTCCTGCAATTTCCTTTTTCCATCCGCAAAGAGATGTAAAAAGCTATAAATATGACTCAGGAATATAAAACCTGCAAAGGAATTATTGATAGAAACAGTGGGTCAATGACATTTATGACTGATACTTTCCACACAGTTACTCCAGTGTATAGTTTGAAATAGACTTTTGCTGGTGAACACATCACAGTGAGTATAGATGTTGATTCATAAAATGGTACACCTGAAACCGTATAATGTGATAAACCAATGTTATGTCAATGAAAGTTTTAAAAGATGTTGTTGAGGTAAATGTTATGGACAATCAGAAGAGGAAAAAAAAAAAGCAACAATAGTGGTTTAGTGGTCCAGCTGAGGAAATCACAGATACCCGCCCCACTGCCCAGGCTATGTGGCAAGGTCTTGTTTTGCTGCCACCTTTTAAACTACGTTTCCTGC